CAAAGGCAGAGCTAGTTCAAGGCAAGCCTGTGCAACCTGAGTCTTTGTCTGAAAACAAAAGGCAAAACCCTTCACCGTACTGCCCCTTAGCCCTGCTTTCCATCCAAAGACACATGTTCTATGTCTAACAACTTGTGTAACACTATACGAGCTCAATGCTGAGTCACCCTGGCTATCTGCCATCACGGACGTGAACTATGTGCCGATCATTAAACCGTTCAGGGTCAGCAGAGTTCTGGGCATGGCCAGCCTGCAGGGACCATGGTCACAGGTCCAAATGGACTCGTGGGCAGCATGAGCTGCTCCATAATCCTCCATGTGAAAGATTGTAGAGTCTAGTTGCTCGCCTGGTAGCAATGCCTTTTAATCCCTTTAATCCAGCATTTGGAAGGCAGAGTAAGGCAGATCTCTGTGAGATCAAGGCCAGCCTGGTCTACTAGAGCTAGTTAGTTCCAGGACAGGCTCCAAAGCTCCAGAAAAACCTTGTTTCTAAAAACTTTTTTTAAAAAAAAAAAAAAAAAGGAAGTCCAGTTGCTCAGTTTATTGGCGTCATAGCAAGAGGGTCCTGAGACAGAGTTGACCCTGCCACTGGGTGCAGGATCTGCCTCATTTGACCCACAAGATTACCCACCACTGTTAAATAAAGTGTTCATTTTGTATATTAAGATTTAAAAAAGCAGCCGGGTGATGGTGGTGCACGCCTTTAATCCCAGCACTCGGGAGGCCAGAGGCAGGCGAATCTCTGAGTTCGAGACCAGCCTGGTCTACAGAGCTAGTTCCAGGACAGGCTCCAAAGCCACAGAGAAACCCTGTCTCGAAAAACCAAAAAAAAAAAAAAAAAATTAAAAAAAGTAGAGCCACAGAATGGAGATGATTTCTCCTATGTCATGAATTGATAACTTAAATAAAAGATCTAATGTTCTCGACCTCTGGGTTGTGACCCCTTTGGGTGTCAAATAACCCTTTCACAGGGGTCACATATCAGATATATCCTACACATCAGAAATTTAAGATTTATGACAATAGCAAAATTACAGTTAGGAAGCAGCAATGAATAATTTTGTGGTTGGGGGTCACCACAACATGAGGGACTGTATTAAAGGGCCACAGCATTAGGAAGGTTGAAAACCACTGCTCTACACACACATACATATGTAACATGTCATAAACAAGAAACTGAGGAGACAATGCTAGTATTCATGACCCAAGTACAAAATAAAATATAAACCACAAAATGTGGTAAAAGCATTAAGGCACAATAAACTGAAGTGTAAGAGACAAACTCAAGACTGGGGATATAGCCCAACTGCTCAAATGCCTGCCTAGCATGGCAAAGCCACAGGGTTCCATCTCCAGCAGCAAGAAACTTGGTATAGGGACTTTGTCTGTGGTCCAGGAGGACCTCTAAGAATTTGAGGTAAGCCTAGAAGACTCTGTAAAACTGTCTCAAAAACACCAAAAAGCCAGTTGAGGTGTGGCACATGCCTTTAATGCCAGCACGCAGAAGGCAAAGGCAGATGACTATGAGTTCAAAGCTGGCCTGGGCTACATAGGAAAATCCAGGATAGCCAGCACTACATGGTAAAGTCTTATCTCAAAAACAAAAAGAAAAAAATCAATAGGAGAGGTGGAAGAGTGTCATTCTCTCAAAGGAAAAAAATTAACTTATTCCACTCCTTTGGTTGTGGTTAACTTTGTTTTTTTTGTGTTTTTGTTTTCCTAGACAGGGTTTCTCTTCGTAGCCTCAGCTGTCCTGGTACTCACTCTGTAAAGCAGACTGGCTTCGAATTCACAGAGATTCACCTGCCTCTGCTTCCTGAGTGTTAGGATTAAAAGTGTGCATTACCACTGCCCAGAAGTTGTGATTAGCTTTTAAACATTAGATACCTACTACTACATAGACAATAACTGTGTTTATGAAGGGTAGTGTGATATTTAATACAGGAGCACAGTGTATAAATATTGGATTATTATAGCCTTCCCACGAAACAGTTGTTATTTCTTTGGAGAACATTCAAAATCCTCTTTTTATTTCTGTTTGGGTTTTTTTTTTTTCATTTTTTTCATTCCATTTGTTGTGGAATATTATTTTAAGGTATGTTACATTTGTTTGTGCTTTAGAACATTTGTTTAATGATGTAAAGATGTGTTGTTTTTGTTTATGCTGCATTTGTTTAACTCTGTGAAGCTGTAATTCTTTGCCTGTCTAAAACACCTGACGGTCTAATAAAGAGATGAACGGCCAGCAGCGAGGCAGGAGCAAGGATAGGCGGGGCTGGCAGGCAGAGAGAATAAATAGAAGGAGAACTCTGGCTGCATAGAGAGGAGCAAGAGGACAAGGAGAGAAGGATGTTAGGAACCAGCCACGGAGTAAGCATGAAAATAAGACATAAGTAAGGAAAGAAAAAAAGCCCAGAGGCAAAAGGTTGATGGGATAATTTAAAGAAAGCTAGGTAGAAACAAGCCAAGCTAAGGCGGGACATTCATAAGAAAGAATGTGTGTATTTGGGAGCTGAGCGGCGGGACCCCAAAGAGTAACACCAACTACAGAGTCTTGCTGTGTAGCTCAGACAGGTCTTGAGAACATTCTTTCCCGGTTTCAGCCTTCCAAGGTCTGAGATTGCTGGTGTACGCCACTGTGGCCCTCTCTGCTACCTGTTTTGAAATAGTTACTATTAACCACAGTCACCCTAGTTCATTGTTATTCCTCTTGTCCATTAGTTTAAAGACAAGGTCTCCCCAAGGTGCCCAGGTTGGCCTTGAATCCTAGCCACCTCCTGAGCCCTGGAGTGGCAGCTGTGCCCCATAGTGCCAAGCTCTCTGCTATGGGATGCCCCAAGTTGACTGAAGAGGAGGTGGCTTAGCAGTCAAGAGCACTGGCTGCTCTTCCAGAGGACCCAGGCTTAGTTCCCAGCACCCACATGGTGGCTCACAAGAATCTGTAACTCCAGCCCCAGGGGTTCCAAGGCTCTCATGTAGCCTCCACGGGCACCAGACACAGACATGGTACATAGAGATTGTTAAATAGATCCCTCCAGTTCAAGATTCCACCTCAACCAGTAAACCATTCTCTGTCCATCTTCCTCACCATATCTCTGTTCTTCTAAAGTAGTTCATAGAAGCCATGAGAACTGGGACTCCTAAAAAATTTTTTTTTTACTTAATTACAGAAATTCCACAGTCTCAATTGTCTATAATGTGTGTTTAATAGTATTTGTGCATCGTTTAAAACTTAGAAACAGACTCCAGACTTATACTGTTTTATTATCTTGGGTCTGCCTTTGCTATGGAACCTCCCCCATGCCTCAGTTTCATCATCTGTGAAATGGGGATAACTAAGACACTTATAGGCTTGTGCTTGTGGGTACCGTCATCCCCAGAGGGCTTGCTGTCATGAAACTTTGGCCTTGCCCTCAGCACACATTTTCATATACAAGAAATAGAGGTTTAGACCTAAGCCTATCTCAAGTGACCACCCTGAGCCTGGCAGTGAGAAAGCTCTCATTCAAGGGAGGTTGGTTCCCCAGGCTGAGCATGGAACAACGAAGGAGCCTACAATGACCTTGTGGCCCAAGAAGTAAACACAAGCCGAAGCACAGTGCCAAGTCCTACACCCACACCTTCTTCCCTCAGCTTTGACCTTTCCGATAGCCAATCCAAAGGCAGCCTGGGGTGAAAGGTGATGCCTTCGGTTGGGATAGCAACCAAAACAGGTCAAACAAACTCACCTGGGGCCATTGTTTATCACTAAGGATGAACCCACGCTAATGGCAACTGCCTTCTGCCATCGTGAACTGGACCTCTCGGCTTCCTAAGCAAACAGTCTCTAGTTATCCTGGATTCAAAGGGCATTGCAGGGCTGGCCTGCATGCCTGGCTGAACTAAGGCAGAGTCTCGGGTAGCAGAAACTGGCCTTGAGTTTATTACGTAGCCAAGAGCAACCTTGAACTTCTGATCCTCCCAAGTGCTGAGATCGCAGACTTGTGCTATATTGCCCCGTTCACATATTCAGTATTACGCCATCGAGTCAATAAGATGACTTTGAAACCCAAGCCAGGCATGGTGATGTACACTTACCATCCTAGCACTCTGGTGATAGAAACAGGAGGATCGGGAACTCAAGGCCAGCCTGGGCTAAGTGATATCCTGTCTTTAAAACAAGCAACACCACACATATATAGAGACGACAGAGACCGGCTTAAAACCCAAGAGAAGTCACTGGGCATATTTCTGTTTTATCTTGCCATTAAATATTTTATCTGTTCTTGGAAAAGTATGCTATTTTTGCATTTTTGTACATATTGATACTTTATTACAACTTGAATAATGAACCTTGGTTAAAAAAAAGATTCTCTTACAAATTTACTTCAAGTCAGCACCCATTCAGGAGGATGAGGAGATTCCAGAGAATTCCAGGCCAATCTGGTCTACACAGTGAGTTAGTTCTAGGCCAGCTTGGTACAGAGGGAGAGGGCCCTTGCCTCAAAAAGGCCAAAGTGACTCGAGCAATCAATCAAAAACCAAGCCTACTTAAGCAGATGGAGGTGAGGAAAGGCCCCACGAAGGGAAACGTTCTGCGTCAGTCTTTCATTTTCTTTGGATTCATCCAACTCAGTGTGACGCAGCCAAGAACAAGGAGCCAATCTTAGCTACGGCCCAACATTGACTCAAAAGTAGTTCTACTCTTAAATCTTCCCCTGAGGCAGATAGTGGCTTTTGTTCCTCAAAACCTGACGGCTGATCCACTCAGAGCTAAAGGCAGCTTGGCCCGTGTCCGTTCGTCTGGATTTGGTTGAAGGGACCGCGCGGTCCATAAAGCGCACGGGACACAGGCTGCCCTCAGTCACGTGGCTGTGCCACCGCGTATTACCCAGCACAACCGTTTTACAAGGTGTACCGGACTCGTTTGTCTTCGGGAGCCAAGCAGGTGACAGACACAAACACAAAGCACAACCCGACAAGGTGGAGTGTGCCCAACAAGGCATTTCCATTCGTTCATTTAAACAAATGAAACAGCCTCTTCACGGGATCCGGCCATCGGGGCCACCAGAACCCGCAACGCTGAGATTATGCTCTCAGCAGACTCCCCAGCAGTTCTCAGAAGAAAGCGTGGTGGAGTTCATGTTACAGGCACCTGACGGGGAAAAACTGAGACTCAGATATAGTGACACGTCCCAAACAAGCTGGCTGGAGGATGCGAATCTAAGAAGTGCCCTTGACACCACAAACTGACTACTGGTACTGTATTTTTTGTTTATTTTAATTTGTTTTTCCTACCCCTTCCTCATTTGGGTTTTGGGGGTTTTGTTGTTGTTGTTTTGTTTTGTGGGGGCCGAGAGTTAAACCTGATCTAGTGTTCCAGTTACACAGGAGACTAAGGCAAGAAGTTCGAAGCCTAGAACTTTGAATCTGGATGGTAGGATGTTGGAGGGGAAGGGGTTAAATCAAAGTAGGCTCACATTCCAGTGACAGTGGGGGGAGGGGGGTGTCAAAGTCCTCTCGGAATACTCCAGGCCAGTGTACTTGGCAGGGAAGCCTTCTTTGCCAACACAGGCACACGTTTTTCACCGAGCCTCTGGCATGGCAGAGAGGTGCAGGGCAGTGTGCCAAGGAAGAACTCTAAGCCTCAACAGCAACGAGGAAGCTGGCTCCCAAATCAATGTGAAGTATCTCCAAAGGAACATGATTTTTATTGAGAGGAAGACGTATGTGTGCACGCGCACAGAGAGAGAGAGAGAGAGAGAGAGAGAGAGAGAGAGAGAGAGAGAGAGAGAGAGAATCTTAGCAACTGAAGATCTAACTCAGGTAGAGTGGGTGTTACCCAATAGAAATAAAATTGGAGCTACCTGTGTAACTGGAGATTTTCTTAATAGTCACATTAGAAAAGAAAAGGGAAACAGAAGAAATTAATCATTTGATACATTTTAAGTGAATAAATTCAATCTTTTTCACCCCAATATGTAATTGTTACCAAAAAAGTTGAGGTTCACTCTTTTGAGCTCTTAGTCCCATTAATAAAATAAGTCAAAAATGGACTCAGAAGGAAGTCTGAGAAATAATTGACTAACACACGAGAAAAAAAAAAAACAATAGAACAGGCAAGCTAAACATCCCAGCAGTTCCCAGGGGACACAGAGGTCAGAGAAACAGCAAGAAAGCCCAGAGAGTTGAGGAACATGTGCCTAGGCGTGTTGAGCTGTGGGTCTCACTTTAGAGAACACGCAATTCCAGGTTCTTGTATCCCAGGACAAAGGAGCACAGCCACACTCATGATCAAAGAAAGGAAATACAGTCAGGCAGTGGTGGCGCACGCCTGTAATCCCAACAATCGGGAGACAGAGTTCAAGGCCAGCCTGGTCTACAAAGTGAGTTCCAAGACAGCCAGAGAAATTCTATCTTAGGGTGCAGGGCAGGGGCATTCCCAAGAATCAGAATGGGCTAATGAGCTGAGGAAAGGACCCAAAAAGTTCTGGCCAACAGGCAACATGGTCCATGACCCCTTAGAGGACATTTCCATAATTCCAACCTCTCCCAAGTTTGTATAATGAAGGATTTTCTCACTCGGCCTTTATTTAGAAGGAGCCCGTGAGAGAATTCCAGTCTTCCTATGCCCTCTGACACCCTCTGTTGGGACCATTTGAAGTCCTGGCCTCCAGCTGCTATTCCCTGATAGAGATCTTTCCTTTCCTTCTGATTTGAGTTAATGAAAGCTGTGTCAAAGTTGTTTACCAGCTCTGCTTCACGAGTACGTGTTCACAAGCACGTGTTGCCTTGCCATGAGGATCAGAGGAGAAGGTTTTCACCTGTTGGCCCACCTGACAGTTGGGTATATAAGCCTCTGGGGGGGCTATTCAAAAGAGGGCTTCTTACCAGTGACTGGAGGTCCGTGTTTCTGTCTCCCGTCTATGTGTCTTTGTGTGTGTTTCAATCTCCAGCCCCTTGCCCGAAGCTCGCGAACTGTATGGTAGCGCATAGAGCGCAGACAGGCGCTGTGCGCTGCAACCCTCCATATGCTAATCTTGATGTTTCCGTCTCAGCTGGTATCATCTGCCTGGCACACAGGAAGCTGTGGGCATGCATAAACTGGGCGTGATAACTCATATTTATAATCCCAGCAGTGGTAGCAGGAGGATCAGAGGTTCAAGATCATCCTCAGCTATGTGTCCGGTTTGGGCCAGCCTGATCTCCTGAGGCCCTGTTTCAAATAAATAAATATGATCAACCTTACCTTATTCCCCAATCACAGTCTGCGACTTCAGTGTTCGTCCTAGGAGTCCAGCTCCTCTACGTTGCACCAGCCGTATTTCAAGCGCTCAAGACCCGCATGCGGCTAGTAATGTCTGGCTTTTGGACCACTTAGATCTAAGCCGAAGAAATCCCAAAAGCCTCTGTTTCTTAGGTAGTAGAAGTGAGCAACTTGGAACTCCTTAAGGTCACGGGGAACCCTCATTTCCAATTCTGCCCATCCTGTGTCAAGACTTTGGTGTTAGCTTCAAACTTTGCACCATTGGAGAACCCCACACACACACACACACACACACACACACCATGTTCCTTTATAGCCAGTGGCTCTGGAAATCCAATCAGAAGCCATTGTATTTGGCTCCGTTTTTTTTGCCTCGTAAGAATGCGGTCCTCAGCATGCTGCCCCCTTTCAAACGCGCACTATTCTGGTGCTGTCTTCACGGCTGCCGTGACTGGCGAGGGATTAGGGTGATATTTTTTTTTTTATGTGCCTGAGTTCACAGAGTAAATTACGCAGCCTGAGCAGCACGGTGATTAGTGGCTGTGTGCGGAAACCAGAATCGCTGTATTTGCATGTTTCTGAATAATGAGATTCTTATCTCCATTATATGGCAACGGGGTCAAAAAAATGACAGTGTTATTAGCTGCTTCACAGGGAACACAATTATCTATTTTGTCTTTTCTTTCTGTCTCTGGGGGTCTCTTTTGTTCTCTCTCTTCCTTCCTCCCTCTTCCCCCCTCCCTCCATTTCTCTATTAAAATAAACTAAAAGCCACTTCATTTACAGCCCCCAGTATCCCTCCCAGATAGTTTCCCACAGGAAGGTATTTCTACAACCTTACCGATTATCCACCTGTATTCTAATCTAACCGTTTCATAGAAGCTGCAGTTGTGAACAGAAGAAATTGAAACAAGGTTACAGATAAAGAAAGAAGGCTACAGGGGCTGAGGGTCCAGTAGGGCTTCCTTAACATTCTTAAGTCCCTAAACTGATCCTCTGGCCTAGAAAAAAAAAAGTAAGGTGATGAAGGCAGGCAGGGAAATACACGAGACGGGAGTCTGATAAAAAACCTGTTCTTTCTCCTGTTCTCAGCCTCTGGTGCAGCTGAATCTTCAGAACAATGGAATCCCGCCTTCTGCTTTAATTACATGTTATGCAGTTCGGTCACGCGTCCTTTTTTTTTTTTCTGCTGAAAACATGAAGAAATTGGGTAAAATTATAATCTGATTCCCCCAACACAAAGGCCTTTTCAACTGACTAAAGAAATGAGTCCTAACTAGACACCGACCGGACAAACATCAATTTTGGCAGTCATGACGTGAGCGTACGGAGCGCTAGTTAGTGTGATGGAGGGTTCTATAGCAGACCCAGGAAAGCTGTGATTAAATCACTCATGCGGCTGATCCCTCAGCAACGAGACTCTTTACCCGCCAGCCTCGTGGTGGTGACCGCTCTGATATCAAGGCCAAGAGTCAACAAATGTTTACAGAGACGCTTTTTCAAAAAGACATCCAAAAATCAATCTCAGCAGATACGTCTCCAGAAATATTGCTGGGTTGCAGGGGGAGAGGGAAGGAAACCGCTTTGATTAAATTCTAACAACACGGGGCGCTATAGTGACAGGGGAAACGGCCACAGCAGGGCACAGGTTAACTGCCTCTGCACAACACAAAGAGGAAACCTAGAGTTTGTCACGAGGAAGATGACTGGCATCACTTGCCATGCGTGGGGGTTAACCACATGCATAAACAGCTGTAAAGGTAACTACAGCTAGTACATATGTTGGTAAAATGACCCAGAGTTGGAACACTACTATGTAATAAAGAATATATATACTGAATGCATATATACACTGAAGCGAACTGCTTACCAAGTGCCTCGAGATGGCTAGGAGGAGCTATTATGTCTTCAGCAATCATCAAAAGTCTTGTTCTAGGACTAGAAGCTGTAAGAGTTTCTAGGAAGCGTAAAGCAGAAGTCAGGCCATATACTCAGAAGTGGATAAAAGGTGATGAAATACTCCAGGCCTACACACCAACTCTACAGCCTTCCCCTGAGTCCACAGCCCTCATTAACTCCCCTCGGTAGAGTTACCACATGCTGACACTGTCTTCCTTCTTATGTTCCTTGCCTATGAGCATGCAGTACCTGGAATTGTGAGGAAGTGGAGGCTCCCACAGGGCAGAAACCTGGTTTATAGCTGACATCACCCATTTATTGGTTCAAACCAACGGTCAGAGCTCTTGCAAGGAGGGAAGCACCATGCTTGTTGCATGAGTTCCCACAGAGAAGAGGATGTCGCCACCATCCCATAGTTTACCTGCAAACCACACAAGATTAGCTGCTTTGCCTAGTGCCGTTGAGAAAAATGAAAGATGCTGAGATATCGAGGCAACAGCAAGAGACTAGACTGAGGTTTCTCCAAGGAAATGAGATCAAAGAAACCTTGATATCAAGAGTTCAAGGTGGAAGCTGGAAAGATGGCTCAATGGTTAAGAGCTCTGGCTGCTTTTCCAGAGGACCCAGGTTTGATTCCCAGCACCCACATGCAGCTCACATATCTATACTTCCAGTCCCAGGGGTCTGACACCCAACTTACATGCAGGCAAAACACCAGTGCACAGGAAATAAAAATAAGAGTCCAAGCGAAATATGGTGGCTTTGATCCCAGCACTCAGGAGGCAGAGGCAGGTGGATCTCTATGAGCTGGAGGCCAGTCTGATCTGCATAGTAAATTCTAGATCAGCCGGACGATACACAGAGAGACCCTGTGTTAAAAAAAAAAAAATTAAATAAATAAAATAAAAAGAAAGTTCACAGGGAAGGGACAATCAGTCCAGGCAGATGGAAGGACAAGAGGAAAGGCCTTGGGGTAGGAACCAAGTGACTGTAGCTAGAACCCAGTGAGCCAGAGGAGAGGGAGCCAAGTGCCCCAGGGCTCAGTCATGTGCTTGGCACGTGACCAATACTCAGTAAACCTTTGCTGAATGAAACAACCAGCAGGCCCACGTTGGCTATACAGGCAGTCATTTCGCCTGCTTTTTCGCAAGAGTGCAGGTGACCAGAGTACACAGAGAAGTGTACAGGTGAGTAAGATTGGGTATCCTCTGCGGACAGGTGACAACGAAGAGTGAACCAGGCCTGCCTGTGGAGATTGTAATTCTGGCTCCTCAGGAGGCTGAAGCAGGAAAATAGCAAACCCCAAGCCAGTCTATGCTACCCAGCGAGGCACACATCGCAATGGAAAGCCCAGAATGGAGCCACAGCTCAGTGGCGAGGTATTATCGTGTGTGCACAGGACCCTGGGTTTAGCACTGAAACCTTCAAGGATGTCTGCAATGAACCCCAAATTACTGCAGAGGAACATGGGAGCAAAAGAACTAAATGCAGGCTGATGTCATGGGGGGCAGGTGCCAGAAGGCAGGATGTGAACCAGCCTTGGAATCACACACAGGAATGTGGTGGGTGGACCAGACAGAAGAGTAGGTGCTCAAAAAAAAAAAAAAAAAAAAAAAGTCTACAAGGTAGCAATCAGATAGAGCTGCATCGATTTCTAGGGCATCATGTAAACTCATTCTATTCTTGCTTGCCCAGTGGAGGTGGAGAATCCATCCCATACACAAAACATAGCAACTGGGTTCCCATGTGTTTATTTGAGGTTGCCCCTTTGAAATCCACAAGCCTCACCTTGAGTGGAGAGTTACCCACCTTAGCTCATCTTACAGTGAGTGATTATCTTACATTGGTGAGAGCCCAGCAGCTGGAAGGGGGGGCGGGGTGCTCTAGCCCTTTCGCATATTCCAGAATAGCACCAGCCTGCTCTTCTGGCTGGAGCGGTTCCGTTCCTTCTCAGCACCACGTTTATTAAACCCTTCCAGACACTCTCCGGAAGCCTCCAACCACCTATTACAAGGTCTGGAAGATCTGAGTCACAGTTCCACCACCCACCCAGAAGGCCCAGGCGGAGGCTAGGTGTCTTCCGCAACCCACTTTGTTGCCACCCAGGGTCTAACCAATGAAGCTCGGTCAACTCTAACTCTCAAATGAGTCTCACCTTCTCCATCGCTGCCTGTTCCACCCCCATGCCTTTTCTTCCCTGAACTTACTAAGTCATAGCGTGGTTCATTTCTTTTCTTTCCTGTGTCGTCCCCCTCCCCCCCAAATGGTGCTGTGAGCTGAACACGGAGCCCACCATATTCCAAGCCCATGCTTTACTACACGGCTTTCATCACAGACTCCACTCGGTTTTTTGTTTTTGATTTTTTTTTTAACATCCTTCTGGGAATCTTTCTGATCTGTTGGTCTACTTTTCCACAGCTTCTAAAACACCCTGATTTAAAAAAAAAAAAAACAGATACCCCAACCCAAACATGTCAGAAGTCTCCATTCCATTACCCAAAATGCTCTCGCCCAACCTTGCATGTATATGTACTCTTTTTTCCCCCTTTAGATAGTATACTTCTTAGGATTTTTGTTCTTGTTTATTATTAATATTAATATTATCACTCGTGTGTGTGTGTGTGTGTGTGTGTGTGTGTGTGCGTGCTGTGTAGGTGTGCATCCAGGCACAAACATGTCATCCACATGTTGATATCAGAACTTTTTTACTTTTTTTTTGTTGGGGGGGGGTGGGTTTCGAGACAGGGTTTCTCTGTAGCTTTGGAGCCTGTCCTGGCACTAGCTCTGTAGACCAGGCTGGCCTCGAACTCAGGGAGATCCACCTGCCTCTGCCTCCCGAGTGCTGGGATTTTAGGTGTGCGCCACCACCGCCCGGCTAGAAGTGGGACTCTCTTAATACAGCTCCGCGGTCCACTTAACCAGATGCAGGCTGAAACAATAGCTCCAATAGCTTCCAACATTTTTTGTTTTTGTTTTTTTGAGACAGGATCTCCCTGTGCAGCCCAAGTTTAACCCAAGATCCTCCTGTCTCTGTGTCCTGAGCGCTGGAACGATAACCATGAACCCTCTAGCTTGTCACTTCCACTTGGATAAGATGGTCTACCCCAGCACTGGAAAAGCAAAGACAGGAAGATGAGAATTTAAAGTTATCCTTGGCTACATGATGGATTTGGGGCTAGCCTGGCCTTCATGAGACCCCCGTCTCAAAATGAACAAACAAAATAATGAGCATAATGGACTCAAATTTTATAAAAACACATGCTTTCAAGCACACTAAATACATGCTTTCAAGAAACATAGAGCCCAGAGACCTCCATTCAGGGATCTCATCAGGATTGAACACACTCCCTTGTCAGGCAAAGCATGAAGAGCCACGATCCTACGTCACACATCACAGGGGCTCATGGCTATCTGAGGTCTAAGGCAGGACTTGACCTGAGGATCCTCTAACTCATAAGCCATTGGAACATTTCTTCAAACACTCACCACACCAACACCTCAGACGGGAAAGAGGTTCCAGCTTGCCAGGCCATTCCTGACTGGACTTGGTGACTTGGGGAGGAGGGGGGAGTACAGGAGGCACATGACAGTCCAGAACTTTCTCTGCCCCTTCCTCCTCCTCTGTCTAGCATAGAAAGGGGAGGCTGGAGGGCTATTTATTCCCTGTTAACAAGGGACAAAGAGAGCCCTAACTGCCCCCATTAGTCATTGCTTCAGAGGTCCCTGCCTTCTACTTCCTAGACTGCCTTACCCCCAAGTGACTTCTCTTTGATGCTATTTATGAGCTAGACCGTGACCCTCCAGGGAGGCAGACCAAGGGCATGTGGGGGACATGAATGGGCTATGAAAGCCGTGTTTCTGCTTGGGGCTGGCATTCGGGGTTCTCAAGAGTGTGTATATGGCAGAGAAAACATAGCATTGGTTGTTATTTAGGGCACAGCTCTCCAGAGAGGAAAATTCTTGAGATAAAGTAACACATGCAAAGCTATCCAGTCAGAAAAGCACTGGGCTTCTCTTCCTGGGGAAGATCCACAACAAGACTTGCTAATGCCTCCGAAAACGGAAGGTCTCTGCTCCTGCTGAATCCTATACATTTTTCCTATCTAATATTGTCTCTTTCTAATGTTGTGTGAAAATTACACAGATGCGAGGTTCCCCCTCCCCAACTTGTTTTTTAAAAACGTGTGTTCATGTGTGTGGGGCGGTCAGGAGACAACGTTCCTTTGGCCTACTCTGGCCTTCCTCAGCAGCCCGCCCACCTTGCTTTTTGAGACGGGGCATCTTAATTAGGGTTTCTGTTGCTGTGAAGAGACACCAGGACCGTGGCAACTCTCATAAAGAAAACATTTAACTGAGGGTGGCTCACTTACAGTTTCAGAGGTTCAGTCATTATATCATCACGGCGGGAAGCATGGTGACGTGCCGGCAGACGTGGCGCTGGAGCAGAGTGCTACATCTTTTAGGCAACAGGAAGTCGACTCACTGTCACGTGGATTGAAGCTTGAGAAAAAGAGACCTCAAAGCCCACCCTCCGGATGACACACTTCCTCTAACAAGGCCACGCCTCCTAATAGTGCCACTCCCTTTGAGGGCCATTTTTCTTTCGAATCACCACACAGGGTTTCCCACTGTCCCGGGATTCTGGCTGGCCAATGAATCCCAGGGATCCGTCTGGCTCAGTTTCCCCAGTGCTGGGATTACCAGCATGTACCTGGTTCCATTTATGTCATCAATTCTAAGAATTAGATTCAGACTCTCATGCTTATGTGGCAAGAATTTTCCTGGTTGAGCTATTTCCCCATCCCCCTTACCTTCTTTTGAGACAAGGTCTCAAGTAGCACAGGCTGGCTTTGAACGTTCTCCATAGCCAGAGAGGGCTGTGAAGGCCTGATCCTTCAACCCTATCATCTCTAGCTTGAAAACATGAGGACTTGAGTCTGAATCCCCCAGCAAGCATATAAAAAGTCAGGTGTGGTCCTTGTAGTTCCATTCCTATAGCTGGAGTGGAGACAGGAGGATTGCTGAGGCTTGCTAGCAGCAAACCTAGTTTCAGGATAAGTGAGAGACCCTGTCTCAAAGGGAATAAGGCAGAGAGAATAAAGCAAGACACTAAGTGGTATGTATCGGGTGATTCAAAACCTCCATTCGCAAACAGTATTTACCTAGGAAGCACCCCTCAGTCACACCCTTCCAGCCTCTTCTCCCAATGCTACAGTCACTGCGTGATTCTGGCCACACTTCATCCTGCCAAAGAGGAGTCTAACCAACCACAGGGCATTTAGATGTCTGTCAGCAATGCCTCATAACCAGAATGTTGACTCTAAAGCTGAAATGAAAACAAGTTAACTGTTTCCTTGGGCAGAGACCTCTCTGGAGGACTCAGCCTGGGAGGGGGACTGTCCTGGGTGGAAGGGGTCATCCTGGGGTAGGGGGCAGAGAAGAGGGGAAGGAACGACTGACTTGTTTAGGTCCCTTCTGACGGCAGGTTCTTTTCATCCCTCATCTCACATAATTTACACAAATACCTTTTGACTTCCTCCTTACTCACCCCGTTTCACAGAAGATATAGGTGAGGACACTGAGCCCCAAAGAGGCTAGACAAGGCCGTATGGGCAGCACCAGAGACAGGACCTGTGGCCCAGTAAGAACCAGCTTTCTTCCCATGTCAAAGTCACCTCTGTTGAACTGCCCCAGCTCTGACATCCCTTCTCTTCCCCCCGCACCAGAAATAAACCTACTTCCCAAGATGGTTCAGTCGCTTCATGAGGATTTGCGGATTTATTATTGGCATCTGGTCCAGTAGAGCCTTGCTAAAGTTGGAGAGACCCTATAAAAGCCCTTGTGCTATACCATGGTCCAGCTGTCCTAGAAAACCTCAAGTTCTGCCTGCTCCCAACACACACGCGCGCGCGCGCACACACACACACACACACACACACACTCTTCTACTTTCTTCCCTGTCTCCCTCCTAGGAGTTGAAGCATGACTTCCTCAAAGATGCTGAAATCCCAGAACTGTGGGGCCTTATTCAAGAACAGAGTCCTTGCCGGGAGGTGGTGGCACAAACACCTTTAATCCCAGCACTCGGGAGGCAGAAGCAGACAGATCTCTGAGTTCGAGGCCAGCCTGGTCAACAGAGTGAGTTCCAGGATGGCCAGGAATACATAGAGAAAGCCTGTCTCAAAAATATAGATGATAGATAGATAGATAGATAGATAGGTAGATAGATAGATAGATAATAAAAGAACTAAGGTTCTTAAACTGACTATAGTGTTACACACAGAGAGAAAGCCTGTCTCAAAAATAAATAAATAAATAAATAAATAAATAATAAAAGAAGTATGGTCCTTAAACTGAGCATGGTGTCACACATCTGTAACTCTAGCACTCAGAAGCTGAGGCAGGAGGAATGCTGTAAGTTAGAGGCCAGCCTTGGTCTAGGCAGGGAGATCCTGTCTATAAATAGATTGAAAAGAGGAAAGGAACAGCCTCTTGCGAATCATCACATTAAAACACAGTGGTTATGGTCGGCCCTAATCCCAGGGAAGGGGGACATTTACCATAAGGGGAAATCTGGACACAGAGCCACGAGAAGACACGGAGACAAAGCCATCTGCAAATCAAGGATTCCAGAGACTAAAGAGTCTCCCTCCCCATCCTTAAAAGAAATGACCCGTGAAGGCACCGATATCCCACTTCAGGCGCCAGAACAGAGAAGACAGTACATTTCTGCTGAAGACAGTAGTTCCCCCACACCTCGTTCCAGGCCCCTCCTAGGCTCTCCCCACTTCTTTTCCACTCTAGTCTGGTTCCATGACTCACAGTCTTGCCCGAATGCCCAGTGATCAGGCTTCAATTTCCTTAAGGAGGAAGGGAGGGTCTTTCAGACCCTCTACCTTGTACAGTTTCCTAGTTACCAACAGGTGAGTCTGAACCTGGTCCAGCTACCCAGGAAGAGGGAGCCCAGGACCAGGGGAAGGGAGACTGGGCAGTATAAGAATACCCATGTCGCTTTTGCTGAGCCTTTTTTACCCATTTGTCTTCCTCCACTAAGTAGAATTGCAATACAGGGCCACTAAGCTGTCTAAAAAGCTCCTTTTGCACAATGACGGTTGAAGGCTGTCCCTGGCTGGCCTGGTCTGCATCCTCGGTCATTATCACATGGTCAGGAGCCAACAAAAGCCCTTCCCTGAAACCCCTAGAAGAATCATAATCTAAAGCTGCAAAGCATTCATCAAGTTCTTGTCGCGAAATTCTCCAGTGTCATCTCGCCCGCATCTCTTCGCCAGCCTAAATACAGGCGGGAGTAAGGCATAAATCATTACTGTCGCGGTGAAACATCATTATTGATTTTTAGCTTTTAGTCATCTATCATCTGAGAGCTGCCTGAAGGGGAAGAGCTTGAACGCTTCCTTGTAACACACTATAGATTTTTCTACCCTTCGTTCCTTTAAACAGGACGACACACAATTCTAGTTTACCTGACAAAGCAGCATGATTTGATTTGACGTTTGTGCGTTGTCCTAGCTGTCCTGGAACTCATTCTGGAAAACAGGCTAACCTCTGCCTCTCAAGTACTGGGATTAAACGCAGGTGCCACCATGCCAGGCTTAAGCAT